GAGAACCACCTCTGAAAATTCCTCATGTGGAGAAGGCCTAGCCGCACCACAGCATGAGCCGCCGCCCTCATTCCCAGCAGGGACCTGAGGCGCCGAGCGGGGACTCTGGGGCCCGCCAGAACCTCCCTGGGCAGACGGGTAGTGCTCATCCGTCTGTCCACGGACAGTGCAGCACGGAATGTCACAGAGTCTAGCTGCAGGCCGAGATAGATCATGCGCTGAGCCGGTTGCAGCCTGCTTCTACGTCATGGTGCTACGTCCCTTAGCGGACTTCGCTAGTGGGATAACACGTGCACCTAATCGTAGAACTTAAGTTACAATAGGTAACTATTAATTTTCTCCCTGTTCACCACAGAGCCCAGGCGCTGTATGTGGGACGGGACCCAGTGCGTGTGACACTTCCCTGGATGATGCCAGAATTAACCAGTCGTCTAAGTAGGTTTAAATTCTTACCCCAGCGCGTCTGAGGACTTTTCCACGCATTGGAAAAATCCGAGGCGCGAGTGCATAAGTACTCGTAATTCCTCTCTCCCACTGCGAAGCGCAGAAACCTCCTGTGTTCTGGCACTATGGGCACGTGGAAGTACGCATCTGTCAGGTTTATGGAGGACATCTAGTCTCCCTCCCTGACACACTCGAGGAGCTGCTTTGTGGGCAGCATCCGAAACTTCCGTTAGGAAATGCACTTGTTCAACACGCGCAGATCCAGAATGGGACGCACCCCGCCTGACTTCTTTGGCACTAAGAAGTAAGGGGAGTACAGCCCCCTGGTGGCGTCCTGCGGGTCTACCTCCACTGCTGCGCCTCGACTCAGCAGAGAGGAGACCTCCGCTTGCAGTGCCTCTATTGATCCCCGTATCTGAGAGCGCACTGCCCGTACACCTCGGAATGGTGGTGGCTTATGGAAGAATTGCAGTGCGTAACCCCTGCGCAATGTTTTCTGTCATCCAAACCCTGCTCCCTCCAGATGCTGTAGAAGTCTGTGAGGGGCGGAACGGGAGCTGAAACACGAGACGTCACGGCCCCGCCCTCTCCTGGTGTTCCTAGCAGGGAGGGGGGGTGGCCGAAAGGGCCGGGGGGCCCCCTGCGTCACACCGTGAGCGCCGGGGGCGGTCCCGTGTTCTGCAGGCCCGACGTCATAAGTACGGGACTGCTCATCACACGTGACTCGGCTGCTGTGCCCCCCCCTGGCTCTTGCCTCATGGAGGGGGGGGCGAGCCCCTGGAGTGGGAAACCCCGTGTTAGCCTTGTAGCTCTGCTCACCACACGTGACTCGGCTGCTGTGCCCCCACCCTGGCTCTTGCCTCATGGAGGGGGGGGACGAGCCCCTGGAGTGGGAAACCCCGTGTTAGCCTTGTAGCTCAGAGATGCTAACACGCGTTCGGCTGGAGCACACACATATATCACTCACCAGATCCCTCCGCCTGCCCTCTCTCCGGGAGGGCAAAACATGAACCCGTGAATCGGAGCCCGTGGCCCGCGTAGCACGCTGCACGCCCTTCTCTGGGGGCTGCAGGCCTAGCGGAGCCACGTTATATGCTCGAGAAGTAACACAATCAGAATTCAAATCATTTGACATGTTACATACCCCCAAATGAGACTCAGACAGCGAGTACTGATGAAATGCCGCACGGCTTTTATTGAAAGAACTCTTCCCACCCCGACCTCCTCTGCCATAGGGAGGTCGTCGGTGGGTGCGTTGCTCCCGCGAGCCACCCATGGGTCTGTCTGGACCCGGGGGCCTCGTCGAGGGGGGACGATGGATAACAGAGCGCGGATACGGGTCAGGATGCCTCCCGGGCCAACGTTCTCTGCCTCTGTCCCGGCTCCGTAATGGCTGGTGGGCCTCGCGCCTCGGTGCTAGGTGCGGGGCTAGCCTAGCCGAGTCTTTAGCTGCAGACTCCAGTCTCGCCACCAGGGCCTGCATGTCCGGGCCGAAGAGGGACGTCTGGGAGATGGGCAGGTCCAGCAGCTGCCTCCTCTCCGCCTCCCTGATATTAGCCAGCCCAAGCCAAAGGTGCCTGGCCCGACTTGGGCTGCAGCCATGGAGCGGCCACCATCCACAGCTAGCGTCTGGCACATGCGCAGAGTCGCAGCCGAGGTGGTCCTCGCCTGTGACAGGAGGTCTCCACTGAGCGCCTGTCCAGAAGAGAGCGACATATCCAGGGCCCCCGTGATGAATGCCATGTTGTTAGTCAATGCTGCATTGGCATAACATCTATCCAGCATCGCCAAGACATCCTGTCCCGCTCGGAGCGAAGGAGAGGTATGGTGCCGGGCCACACGAATGCGGAGGGCTGCAGGGCCATGCGGACTGAATCCTCGACGTCCTGTCCCGCTCGGAGGGAAGGAGAGGTCTGGTGCCGGGCCACACGGATACGGAGGGCTGCAGGGCCATGCGGACTGAATCCTCGATCACCGGTCCAGGACCAGTCCTGCCCGCTGCAGTACATGTCGTACCCCAGAGCAGGCCTCTTGGCTGCTAGGGGCTTAGGCCACTCACGTGTCGCGTAATGGACGAACGGGTCCATCCGCGGGTACAACGTGGGTCGCATCCTCCTCCTTCCTCGAGTGGTGGCACCCACCGAGGTGAAGTCCTCCACCGTCTGGATCCAGTGACGACGTCCGACGCCGGAGGGCGAAGGGAACTCGGACGAACAAGGAAGACATCTCAGAATGAAGTAAGTACTGTGGTAGATCTCAAACGGCGCCAGAGTGAAAGAGGGGGTGCGGCCTTGTGCAGGGGCATTTATAGAGGAGGGTGGCTGGTGATTGGAGCAAATTATTTTGATCTCTCTGGCGTGTGACCTGGGGGTCACGTGATATCCCACTAGCGAAGTCCTAAGGGACGTAGCACCATGACGTAGAACTACAAATGGTACACAGCGTGTCGTGTTCCGTTGCACACAGTGTTTCAACCTCTACAACTCAAAGCTGAACTACTGGGAGGACTGAAAAAGCAGATAAACTCACTCATACACACACTCACGAACACTCACTCGCACACAGACACACACACAGACACTCACTCGCACACTGACATTCACACACACACACTCAAATTCACATGCTTCATTCTATTTTATACATCTATAGTTTTATTGATCTTTGTGTTGTTGTTGTTTGACGTTTTGGTTGATGGAATAGAAGAAAGTAAAATTTTCTATCTGTGAATAAATTGCCAACAATTTGCCATCAAAAGTATTATTTCAGAGTCATGTTTTTATAATTTTTGTAATGGAACAAGTGTGAAGATGTTTTGAGTTGTCACTAAAGCAGCAAAAATGCATCTAAAAGTCTCTTTTCTGCTTGATATGTTCCTGTTTACACACAGCTCGTTTTCTCTGTTTTCTTGCTCAGACCAGGTGTTATGGGTGAAAGTATGCTTTGTTCTGTGGCAAATAGCTCAAGAACGGTAAGAGGTAGAAACAAACTGTTTTTTTCAGAGTAAAGCAGAGAGGTTAATCTTTAATTTGGTGCCCTTGGTGTTTACATCGTCTAAAAAATGAATATTCTGTGGCACTTCAAAGTTGGGTCAAATCATCTGAAATTGTTGGCAGAATGCACTTCTCAAATCTGAAAATGCCTGGCAGTCAGTGAGTTAAACATACATGTAGGTACAACACATCAGGACGGGAAAACTATCAACAGGACAGACAGGAAGTAAAGCTCACAATAAGAGCAAAAATGCATATCAAAATAAAACCAGTTAAATTAACAGAAAGTCCACACCATGACATCAATTCCCACTTCCAACATCCATGGTACAACATATATTTTTGACCATCACTGTCTTTCTGTAGTTTTTCCTACTTGGGTCATTCATATTACTGAATCTTCTGCCACTGCTCCTGCAAAACAAGAATGGAAGCGGTAAATGTAATTCGAAAGTCAATGATGGACCTTACATTTGCAGTTTAGTCAAAGGGCAAAACTGAAATTTGCAAAGCAGACGCTCAAGCCTTCGTTTCTTTTAATAAAAAATCTAAAAATAATCAATGAAATCCATCCATCCATTTCCCACCGCTGAATATAATCTGGTACATGCACAGATAAATTCCACATTTGAAAGAGTTTCTAGTATAGACTGTAGACCAGGGCTGTCAAACACATGTTGGTCACGGGGCACGTATAAAAGTGGCTTTCTTTTATTACCGTTATTCTTCTAACATATGTTCAGATTCAATCTAGCCTGGCCTGATCTTATCTTAGCCATCCGTAAACTCCGGTCAATTATCATTTCCCTACGTCTGGGTCTGATCCTAGTGGCTGCAGTTATCTTGGTTGTATCCCATCCGACCATTCAGCGAGCGGGGGAGGCGGGTGTTGTAGGTAGATGTCGGTGACGTCAACAGTTTGCGGCAAAATTGCTGGTTGTAGTTTGGCAATGGCAGCGAATGTGTGGGTAAAATAATTTGTTCTAGTTTGACTCCAAATATCAAGAAATTAAAGCTGGACCAAGAAAATGTCATTGCTGGCAAAGATGTTTTGGCTCTTCTACTCACACGCTCTGTTAGTGGTAAAGGAAATGGCTAAAGCAAGGCTAAATGCTAAAGCTAGGGTAAATTCTAAAGGCCTCACTCACTCAGGTGCACTACATACATCACGGTAAACTCAGATCCAATCGTTTCAACCTGGAAAAGGAGTTTACCCCTCCCACCTGTTGACGGAGCGCAAATCCAGATCATAGTATGAATTAAAATGAGTACAATGGTATGGTAAGACCAGGCTGGATTCAATCACAACTGAGCTGTTATCAAGAGGTGATTTAATTTAAGACACATGGTTAAATATGAAAAAATAAATCTTAACTTAACATCTAATTCCATGTTTTTTTTTTTTATAACAAATTCAATTACATGGTGGTTAACCTGAGAAAGTAAGCTTTAAAATTAGCAACAATGCTGTTACTATAATAATGATAATTGAAAATCATTTCAGGGGTCTTTGGGTTCCACTTAAAGCTTCAGGGGTCGGCACACGTCCATTACTCAGCCATTATGGAGGTGGTGTCTGTGGCCTGCTGTCTCCTAGTGAGAGTCTCCAGCCTGATGCCCGCCTGCTGTGCCCTGTGTCCGCACAGCGCTCCGGCAGAGACTGCTCAGTCCTCGTTCACCCGCCTCAGCAGCTCCCACACACCAGGGGGTCGCAGCAGCAGCTGTGCGCCCCGTCACTTCTCACTTACAGTGTTGTGTATCTTCTCTCTCTCGGGCCCCTGCACTGCTCCTCTGGACTCCCCCGCCTCACGCTCCAGTCTCCTCGCACCTGGGTCTTGATTACACTCCGCTCCTCCCTGCTCTCATTTGTAGTCCCCTTTTATTTAATTGATTACAAAATGTTTTTGTTGTTTTAAAATGCAACAAGACAATTACTGTGATGTTTACCAAAGAACCCAAATGCAGAAAAGGGTGAAGCAACAAAATGGGTTTAATAATTCAACATACAAAAAGAAAAATCACATAGCACAGAGGGTAACCAGACCAGGATCAGGACTTGGACCGAGGTGGAGCAGAGATCTGAGGCAGACGGAAAAAGAGATCCTTTATTTGTTCCACAGTGGGACAAAATGTTAAATATGAAAGGCCAATTCCACAGAGCAATGAGGCAGGTACAGTAAGACGCACTGGAACAGAGATTACAATCTGGCACCGAGGAGCTGGATATGAGGGTCTTGAATCCACTCGATTCATACTCTCTGGGCAGAGTCAGAGGTTCTCTGGGAACAGGTAGGGGAGGGGGGAGGGGGGCTACTGGAGGAACAGCCATGATAATTACTTTACACTGTGTCAAGGGCATAATAAATAAAGACATCGTTACATGTAATTACACAGTGATGTCATCCCAATGACAGAGGGAATAAACTAAAATAAAGTCATTCTAATACAACACAAATAAAATAAAGTGCAGATCATTCCTATTTCTCCAAAGAATTACCATACAAAGTTTATAGTTCCCTTTTATGTCGAGAGCCGATCCAGTGGCGCAAATAGGTGCTGGTTGTGCCGTGTGGCGATTAATTATTCCCCATTGTCCTCAGCGCTACTTTGTCCAGGGAGACATAGGAAACAATAAAGCACTTTAAACATAATTAAGATAAAAGCCAAAGGTTTGTGAGTGCAGGCCATAGCGCAAATATATTTAACAAAAAACATTCAGTAGTTCGCCTGCAAAACAAACACAGCTATGATGTCGCATCTTTTTACTTGTAATTCTTATGACTGTGTGGTTTGGTGACATGACAGCCAAAGAAAGGAGGGGTTCTTTATAGTAATAATAATAATAATAATAATAATGATGCATTGGTTTTCACATGTCACGGTGGTGATAAACTACTACTGTAGCCACAGCTGCCATGGGACACACTGACAGAAGCGAAGCAAGCAGTATGTGCCATTGGCCTCTCCGGCCACCACCAACCACTCACACACACACCTGACTCATTTTAGGCAATGTGGGAGATTTGTCTTGCATGTGGACACAATGACAGTATGATGCTTTACAGCCTCAGCCACCCCACTGTGGCACCTGATGTTCCCAAAGGTCTCCCATCACCGTACTAACCAGGCCCTGCCCCGCACAGTTTCTGTGGTCTGACGGGATCTGGCTTTTGCATACAGTACACGTATGGCTATTAACTCAAGAATCCAGACTCTTAAATTAAATTCTGCTCTTCAAATAATCAATGACTCTTCCTAGAAAAGCATGTTCCAGCTTCTTCCCTCTTTTGCATTTGTATTCCAATGAGGTTTTACTGCAAATGGCCAATAAAATCAGTTTGAATCTGTATTGTATTGCCACCATCAAAGTCACAGTGAACTCAATGGACCACAAAACCTTCTGTATTTGACTTTAAAATGTGTGTGTTTTACTGAAATCAAGAAACTCTATTAATAATTGTATTTTTGTTACTCCTGTATCAGAATCAGAATCATTCTTATTGCCACGTAAGTAACATGAAGTCACAGACTTGGAAATTGCTTTGGCTCAGTGCAACAGTCAGAAAGAGATAATAAAAAATAAAGAATAAAAAACACTTCTAAGGAATACATTAAAATTTAAAATAGAGTTACAGTTACTATTTACAATATACAAGTGCACATGGTGCACACAATGTAAGGTGACAGCAGTACAGTGAAGTAAAGTGACGTATGATGGGCAGTAAAGTGACTTTATAAAGGGCAGTAAAGTGACTTTATAAAGGGCGGGGGGACAGGTTAAGAAGTGTTCAAGAGTCCAACAGCAGAGGGGAAGAAACTGTTCTTGTGGCGGGAGGTTCTAGTCCTGATGGACCGCAGTCTCCTGCCTGAGGGGAGTGGTTGGAATAGTCCATGTGCAGGGTGAGAGGGGTCGGCTGTAGTAGTAGTAGTAGTAGTAGTAGTAGTAATCTTTATTTATATACCGCCTTTTCACTGCAGATCTGAGTCTCAAAGCGGTTTACAATTGTTATTTTTGGGCATTAGTCTCTCACTCCACACAGAGATGGGAGTGGGGTCGCCGGTACAGGAGGCGCATGCCAGACATGCCTATTGGACATATTTTTTTAGTGGTAGGGGAAACCGGAGTACCCGGAGGAAACCTACGCAGACACGGGGAGAACATGCAAACTCCACTCAGAAAGGCCCTGGTCCGACCGGGATTCGAACCCAGGACCTTCTTGCTGAGAGGCGAGAGTGCTATCCACTCAGCCACCGTGCCGCCCATACGACCAGCCCGGCCTCAAGCTCGGGCGACGTACAGGTCCTGCAGCGATGGAAGGCTGCAGCCGATCACTTCCTCTGCAGAGCGCACAATGCGCTGTAGTCTCTGTTTGTCCCTGTTTTTCTCTGACTGTGGCTCCAGCGAACCACACGGTGATGGAGGAGGTGAGGATGGACTCGATGATGGCCGTGTAGAACTGCACCAACATCTGTGCAGGCAGCTTGGCTTTCCTGAGCTGCCGCAGGAAGTACATCCTCTGCTGGGCCTTCTTGACGAGGGAGCTGATGGTCGGCTCCCACTTGAGGTCCTGGGTGATGGTGGTTCCCAGGAAACGGAAGGACTCCACAGAGGTGATGGGGGAGTCCATCACGGAGGGTGGGGGTGGGGGGACAGTGCTCTTCCTGAAGTCCACAATCATCTCCACTGTCTTCTGGGCGTTCAGCTCCAGGTTGTTACCACTGCACCAGGACACCAGCCGGTATCAGCCTCTGACTGGATTAATAAAGGGTAAGTCCCAAGCTGCGTGACTTTGTCTGTTATTTTGGACTATGATGTTGTCCTGAAATTGTGTTTTTTTTTAAATAAACCGATTCAGATTAATTTATTTTCCATTTGTAGTAAAACCACAGTAGAATACATCCGCAAAAGTCCCCAGAGTGCACATGGATAAAAACAAGGTTAAAAAAAAATAAACAGGAAACGATAATGAAAAACAAATACATGGTCGCAGGCTGAAGGGACACACTGCTTTCAAACGAGCATGCACACACACACACACACACAGCAGTATTTGTAAGTATGCAAGTAACTTTATTAACAGAGTTCCCTCACAACAGTCAGTGCAGAGGAGACAGAGAAAGAGAGGTCTGTGAGCACGACTTCTGGAGCTTATAGCAGCAAATTAATGGTTCTGTCCTGATGATGGTCCGTCCACATTAGTCTCAATCTGAAATGAATTTATCTCACGTGAGCCACATGTGATCACCGCGTGCTCTGTGGCACCTCATTAATTATTTATTTACACCATCAGGTCGACTTGATCATGTTTTTGTTGTAAACGCTAATAATGTTGGAGCTGAACTAATACTCACAAGCTGAAGGAGGTGTTTTGCTTTTTTGCAATGTCACTTTGGGTTAAATCAGGGGTGCCCAAACCTTTTGCTTCCAAGGGCCAAAGTAAAAATTTGCCAGTCGGCCGCGGGCCAAATACACCAATATTATGCATGAAACACAAATAAATGTAGATTTGATCAAGTTCTTTTAAATGCATTAATTATTGTCTAGCAGTGCAAATCACAGCTGAATGAATGAAATCAACACAGTCTTAGTGAAATGGAGGCTCCAGGGAAATATGCAGGTTTGAGGAGACTACAGTACGGAAAGATTCCGGTCGGGTAATCAGGGTCCAGAGGAGGGAGATTTTCTGTCATGGCTTATTTAAAGGTTAAAATCATATAATAAAACCTCAAAAAGAGAACAGAAACATACATTTTGTGTGCACCATGTGCACTTGTATATTGTAAATAGTAACTAACTCTATTTTAAATTTAAATTTATTCCTTAGAAGTGTTTTTTATTCTTTATTTTTATTATCTCTGTTGCAGTGAGCCAAAGCAATTTCCAAGTCTATTTTCATATATTTATTTTGAACAAAAGTTTTTAACTACATTTGAATCATATTACTTTATCTTAGCTTTTATCAAAAAGGGGAGACATCACTGATCAATAGATCTGGTTTTAGCACACTTTTAAACAATACATTTTAACATTAAGTAATGAATTTGGGAACATAATTGCTAACTGCATTTTCTAAACATGATCAGGTTTTAACTCTTTTAACTTAACTCACTGACTGCCAGGCATTTTCAGATTTGAGAAGTGCATTCTGCCAGCAATTTCAGGTGATTTGACCCAACTTTGAAGTGCCACAGAATATTCATTTTTTAGACGATGTAAACACCAAGGGCACCAAATTAAAGATTCACCTCTCTGCTTTACTCTGAAAAAAACAGTTTGTTTCTACCTCTTACGGTTCTTGCGTTATTCGCCATAGAACCTGGTCTGAGCAAGAAAACAGAGAAAACGAGCTGTATGTAAACAGGAACATATCAAGCAGAAAAGTGACTTTTAGATGCATTTTTGCTGCTTTAGTGACAACTCAAAACATCTTCACACTTGTTCCATTACAAAAATTATAAAAACATGACTCTGAAATAATACTTTTGATGGCAAATTGTTGGCAATTTATTCACAGATAGAAAATTTAACTTTCTTCTATACCATCAACCAAAACGTCAAACAACAACAACACAAAGATCAATAAAACTATAGATGTATAAAATAGAATGAAGCATGTGAATTTGAGTGTGTGTGTGTGTGTGAATGTCAGTGTGCGAGTGAGTGTCTGTGTGAGTGAGTGTCTGTGTGTGTGTGTGACTGTCAGTGTGCGAGTGAGTGAGTGTCTGTGTGTGTGAATGTCAGTGTGCGAGTGAGTGTCTGGCCCAGTCCCAATACCCACACTGCACCCTACGCCCTCCTATGAAGTGTGCATTTGTTTGAAGTGCGCGCAAGGGTTTGA